CACACGTGTCTGTAGCTTCGGCACATGGCTTTGGAACACTTTAAATCATGGGAACATCAGTTTGGTTTAGTATCTGCATCCATGATACGCTGCAACGGTCAACATGAGTGACGCATAATCTCTATGAATAGATTTACGGGGTGAAAATAAGATCTTTAGCCTTACCTCCTACCATCCAAAGCACAGCAGCCGAACTTCTTCCTTTGGTTTGATCTTCCCGAGAAAGCGAGGAGGGGAGTCACAAACCGCTTTGCTGTCGTTCAAGATTTGAACTACCTTCTCCCCACATGCCTATGTTACAGCCCGAAAATCAGAGGCCATCTCCTCTTTGATGTGGTAAGACGTGTGGGCAAGCAGTTGAAATAATTCATCAACGGCTGTTTGACGGCTAATGACGACCATGTCAATCAGAGAACGTTAAAGGCACAGTCTCTGTACCATTACTTGAATCCTTCTCCCCAACAGTGGGTGCAATCATAGCTACATTGATGGGTGCCTCCACTTACTATGCACCCTCTGGATGCCTTAACAAGCTCACCAATCAGTCTTGACTGATTGGTTTTCGCTCACTAAATCGATTTTGAACAAAGAAGGTTAACAAACTGCCTGTCTAGGCGGAACAATTTATTTGCCGTCCTCAGACATCGGTTCATTCAACTCCAGCTCGGAGCAGCATCCCCTCGGCGTCAGCACAGAGTCATCCTCGACACCGTCCTCCTTGGATCTCTTGATGAAAGCATCCAAATTGTCAAAGTAGACCAACATATTTCTCTCCAGATGATTGAGAGTGCCGTGAGGCAGCTCACTTGCTCCAACCAGATCCATGAGAAGAAATGGCCACGCTTCAATTACTATCTCTTTATCCAAATTTTCGATCAATCCCATCCTTTCGTGCGGATGCATCCATGTTCGAGAGTTGTTTGAAAGGTCACCTGAATCCTCGATAGCCTTGAATGTGTGGAAGAAACGCTCTCCACCGTGGTACCAGGATGAGAGCTCCCTCAATCCAACTAAGCTAAATAACGGCTCAATATTGACACAGTCGAGGGCGAAACTAAACCACTGGCATAGCTCCTCCCGTCCAGGAGGTGGATCACATGCCTGTGTTTGCAAATCACCTTGTACCATTTTATAAGACGTGATTCTTGCACCCAGACTACTTTTACACCCATCACAGATGATTTTGTCAGCAGTAAATGCGTTTTCATCCGCATCCTCGATAATCCAGGTCAAGTATGAGTTCACGGCGTCGGAGGCTTCGCAGGCGGTTTGTTGGCGCGGATCTATGCTAACATTGATTGGAGAAGCGATGGAGACAGACACATATTTACCGTCCTCTGGGGCGATCTTGCAGCCTGACTCCTTCTGACAACGCAGGGCTTCGAGATGAACCATTCCAATGTCAGCATAACCAATGGGTAGGTCACAAAACTTACAAGTCACTCGTCGTCGCCGATTTAACGCCGTAAAGGCAGGAAATGACGTCGAGAATGGCGGATCCTCGAATTGATTCTGCACATCCCCCGTTTCTTGGGTCGATGTTAGCGGGGGCGAGGGTGCACATCCATCCGACGTGATTGACATGCTTTCACAGTGCCCTGTTGTCTCTGTATTTTGACGTGAAAATCAATTATGCGATCAGCTGTGTGGTGCCTCTCCGCCTTTTGGACGTTAGTAAGCGCAGAATAAAAGGCAGACGAATGGATTATGTCCACTCTGATTGGCTGTTGTGGTCACTTGGCAACACAACTTTGCAGTTTTGTGTTGTGGGCGTAGCTTTTAAAGTAAGGAGGGAAGAAATACTAGAATTTCGTCTCTTGTAGCCTGTTTCACAGTAGAGGTCTTCATGACCTCTGCAAACTGCAGGCTGCGCGTCTTCTGTTCTCGTCTTTTGCAGTATGCGATAGATTTTT